CAGAGGAGGCATCAGAAGGCAGCCCAAGCCACTCGCCTGGGAGCCTGAGCCGAGATGTTCCCGGCTCCTGGCTTCAGCCTGGCCCAGCCCTGGCTCTTGTGGCCATGTGTGGGGTAATCCAGTGGATGGGAAAATCTCTGCCTCTCCCTCCCTTTCAAATAATTAAAAAGAAAACAAAAATAACCTTTAAGACAAGAAAAACCACACCAAAAACCTGTGTGCTGCTTCAGAGGAAGGCAGAGGCAAACCTAAGTTTGCTTCTCCCCGAAAGATTCTGAATACCCAGGCCTGCTCAGAGCTAAAGCAGCTCTGAGATACCTGTGTGCTGAGGGGGCGGGGTGAGGAGATAAAGGAACCAAACACCCTTTGGGTTGATTTCCAGGGCACTTAAATATCCTTCAATTTCTATCTTGGGGTTTATTTTTGACAAGTACAAACTAAATGTACCCTCAGGAGGGGAGTTGCTCCATGCTGGCAACCTCCAGTCATCATACTGAATTTCATCAACCCCTTGGCCCAGGCTAGACCGGGAAAGTACCCAGGATCCTGCACCTCGCCAGTGACGGGACCGCAGAGGCCGCCGCTCAGGCCAGCCAAAGGGCAAGCTCAGAGATTCACATACCTTTACCTTCCTCACCGCAGTGGAAACTAAAAATGCCAGATCTCCCCCACTAATAACCTGAACTTGGGAGTCCTTGAGCCTGCGTCACGGAGTTCCTGAGACCATCCAGGCATGGAAGCTCAAGACCCTGCTGTGTAACAACCAGCTCAGGTCTGGCAAGCCAGCCTGGCTGGGCCCACTGTGGTCCCTCCCTGGCCGCTCGTGCCACTGAGGTACGGGCTTATTTCCAAAGCTGAGCCTTTCATTCTGCCCACTAATCCTAAAGGTGAGCCTGAAGACTAATCAGGTTTACTGTTTGGCTCCATCCAAGGGGTGTGCATCTTAATTATTTTCTCAGGAAGTTCCATGCCACCAAGAGCTAATCAATAATTATCATAGATTATATCCAACTCCCATGGGATTAGGCCAAGGCAAATCAGCTTTGGAAAGATCTGAAGACCATGAGACTGTGTCTGCTGCCAAGCATGCAGCCACTCGGGGCAGGGGTGGCCGAAGCGGTAGCTGGCATCTGAACTACAGCCCAAAACGAAGGGGTAGGCAGCCCATGACACGGGAAGCAAATGAAACTCCCCAGCCCAGTTCACGGGAGAGACCAACACCCAGCCAAGCTGTCTGCCCACACTGGGCATGCCTCCCAGCACCTGTGTCCTGGCCTCTCACAAAGCAATGCAAGAACCTTCCCGACAGGACCCTCAAATCCACACCGCCTCCATGGGCACCGGCAGTTGCTCCCTCACTCCCTCTAAGCCAGTCTGGGTTAGCATCCCAAAGCAGAGAAGTGGAGTGGGAGACAGAGGTGCCACGCCCTCCACAGGGATCCTTACCAGCAGCCTCCACGGGAAAGGCACCACAGAAGGTTCTGGCTCACTCCCAGCTGCAGAGCTGCCACGTTCCATCCAGGAGGGAACCGTTCACCTGTTCCAAAGACTCGCAGTCTCCTTTCATCTTCCTCCTGTCTCAGGCTCCTGCTGCACTCTGTGTGAGCCAGTTCCCTCAGGGAAAGGCCAGGGGAGGAGCCCACCCCAGCTCCTCAAGGTGCTCCAAGAAAAGATCTTGAAAATGAAGGTACCCCCCTGACCAGATGTGTAACCCAAGCAACCCTGCCAGAAACCAAGCGGGAGTGATTAAGAGCAATGTGGGTCACAGGTCCACAGACAGTCCAGGTTCATTTTAAGAATCAAAGAAAACTCGACAACTAACATGCCCATTTCTTGTTAAAATACAATTCTCCAAACTAGCATTGGATTTTATTTAAATTTGCTTTTTTCCACCTTATCCTTAACTCACAGTACTCTCTATTCATTGTTTCATAGTAATTCTATTTGGCTGTTGTATCTTATGGTCTCCCTGTATCACACTTCCGCCCCTACCATCTAGCTAACCATGACACCATTAATTTCAAGCTCCGGTTCTGGGAGAAATGAACAGATATAAAGCTCCCTCCAGTAACATCTGCCAGATGATGTGAAAGTCAGTGAAAAATGGAATTTTGAAAACACCGAATTATTTTCCCTTCTTTGAGATTTAAAAGTGGTCTAATAAACCTTATAATAAAGTTTAATTTTCTTTAACCCAGAGATAGCCAAACTTAAATGAAAATCAACCTGTTTCCTCTTCACTGGGGGCTTCCCATGGGAAACTGAGAGCATTTTGCCAACCTCGGAGGTCTTGAGGTCCACTTACTCCTGCTGCTGAGAACAGAGCCCCCTGCTGAGAAGGGCACCCCCCCCAACCCCTACCCCACCTGGAGGGATGGCAGCCAGGGCAGCAAGTGTCCGCACTCTCCCCATTCCACTGGAGACAGTCTTCCTCCCAGGCCTGCCTGAATGGCTGCTGAGCCCAACGCAGTGAGGGAGCCTGGGGCAGAGCCTGGAAAACTGGTAAAAATCCCCCAAATGGTCTGGACTTAGCAGTCACTTCCCAACATCGGCTGCTTGGTTTTGATAAATGGGTCACAGTGAGAACAAGACATCCACCTTAGAGGCAGCTCAGTGAGGATTATGAGAAGTCCATTATCTTCGCTACTTTTCTACAAATCCAGAACTATGCCAAATTTTAAAATGCATCATTTTTTTTCCCCTGGGGGAGAACCTGAATCCTACCGAGAGGGAGCACCTGAGGCACGTGACAGTTGTCCCATGCCATGTTTTGCAAAGCGGCCTTAGTCCACTGCAGCTTCTAGAACAAAATACAACAGGCCAGGAACCCAGAAGCACCCGAAAGCTTTCTCCCATGGTGCTGGAAGCTGACAAGTTCATAGTCAAGGTGCCTACAAAGTCTGGCAAGGGTCTGCCTTCTTGCTTTGGCCACACATGGAAGAAGTAAGGCATTACTCTGGGCTTCCCCAGGAGCACTCATGAGGCTCCCACCCAGTACCCTAACACATTGCACATGTCCCCCACTGCTGATACTATCATGGTACACTGGCTTAGATTCCAACTCATGGGCACATCCAGACCGCAGCAGGGCCTGCTAGCATCTTGGGTAGGATACAGCACAATCCTGTGCAGCACTGGATATGAAACATACCTGACTCCTGACCACCAAGTGTCGAGAGAGCCCCACACCAGTGACACCCAGTGCCCTTGAAGAGCCATGCCTCCGTAGCTGCGGTCTGGGGGCACAGTGCTCCTCATTATCTGGCTGGTCAGCAGCTTTACTCAGATTTCTGCTCATCAACAACTCAGTGTAATGCAGGCTCATGGTCGAGTCCAGGTCCTGCCAATTTGTGATAATGAACAGGTAATTTTCTCTAAGCATTAATTTCCTGTCAGAAATTGCACTTCACAGTGGTGATTACAATTCCTGAGCACTTAGGAGGTATGAGGCATTCTGTGCTTTTCATGCATTCATTTTCCCCTTACCACAAATCCACAAAGTCGGCACCGGCTCTGTCTTCAAACCACGAGGCCTAGAAAGACTAAGAAACCTGTTCAAGGGAGCAGCATTGTGACACGGTGGGTTAAACGACTGCTTGCCTGCATCCCATATGAATGACTCCTCCAGTCCCAGCTCCATTCAACGAACATTTAACAAATCATCCAAGTCCTAGCATTCTGGCATAGCCAGTAAAGCTACCGTCTGCAAAGACAGCATCCCATATGGGTGATGGTTCAAGTCTCGGCTGCTCCAGTTCCAATGCAGCTTCCAGCTAATTAATGGCCTGGGAAAGCAGCAAAAGATGGCCCAACTGCTTGGGCTCCTGCTACACATGGGCGAGACCAGGAAAAAGCTCCTGGCTTCTGGGTTTGGCCTGGCCCAGTCCTGCCTACAGCACTCATTGGGGAGTGAACGCGTTCTTAGAAGAGATCTCTCTTCCCCTCACCTTCTGTGTGTCTCACTCTAACTCTGCCTTTCAATGTTTTTAAGATTTATTTTTATTGAAAAGGCAGTTTTCAGAGAAGGACAGACACAGAGAAGGACATTGGTTCATTCCCTGAATGACCAGCAAGACCAGGGCTGAACTGATCCAGAGCTAGGAACTTCTTCTGGGTCTCCCATATGGGTGCAGGGTCCCAAGGCTTTGGACCATCCTCCACTGCTTTCATAGGTCATAAGCAAGAGAGCTGGATCAGAAGCAGAGCATCCAGAAAACAAATTGGCAGCCACATAGGATGCCAGTGCTTGCAGACAGAGGATTAGCCAGTTGAGCCATTGTGCTGACTCCAACAAATCAATCTTTAGAAACAGATCCCTGCACCAAAACAAACTTCGGTTTTAATTCCATTTCCCCACAGACTGTTAAAGATCCCCTCCTACACTGTACCTGGACAGCCTTATGTGGCTGTTTCACATACTGCTGGTGTGGGCCATGTCCCCCCATCGCTGGATGAACACATCTCTGCCTCATCCTTGCCAGCTCCTGCCGGCATCTTCTCTCCTGGCCCTGCTGCAGCTGTCCTCGTGGTCGTCTTTCTGCTACAGTGCTTTGCACTCAGTTCCTGGACACGTACACCGCTCATGTCTCGGGTCATCTCACGTCCAGCTCCTGAAGGGCTGAGAAATCCTGACATGCAGCCTCGCTTTCTGCTGTGCTTCCACAGTCCGACTTACCCCACTGTGTCACTGCCCCACTGTCTCCTTAGAGGGGCCCTTCAAGCCACTCCCGGTCCTGCCCTCAATGCGGCCCCACCTTCGGGCCTGTGCTGAGGCCTCCTCCCCGGGAAACACCTTTTCCTCAGCTCCACCTCCCCGAGCCTCAGCCCCCCTCAGCTCCATCCGACTGACTGCCACGCTTTCTTCTGCAGCTCTGCAGAACTTGGGCCCGCTTCCTTACCGTGGGCACCGAATCTGACCTTCCACTGGGCTACCTGGGTGCATGACCTAAGGCCTCCACTGACAGCAAGCTGTCCGCTCTGCAAGGATGAGAAGAAAGAGCTTTAAGTTGAAACACCGAATTTATTGCATGATATTGAACTATATGCACACACATAGAAAATAAACATCTCATAGAACTGTATATTTATTTTTAATCTTATATTTATAAAGACTGAAAAACTACCAACGTAGCAATTGGAATAGGTCTTTTTAAAAAAGAAAAAGCAAATCTACAATCCTTTGTTGAGATCTGATGCTGTGTCATGGTTCATAAATACTCCATTTTACATAAATATGTCTTTCCTCTAGGTACTAGCAATTTAAAACTAGGCTTATATGAATTCTTAGATCATCTAGAATTTTCTTACCCCAGGATGAGGAACATTAAGCACATGATTGTTTTTTGAGATACATATGTTTAATTGAAACACAACGCCCCCCAATTCTACTGTAAACAAAATAGCTCAAATGTGCTAAACAAAAATCCCATCAAAAATAACATCTTAGCATTTAGGGGGGGAAAAACCCAATCTGAGTAGAAATTTTGCAATTTAAATAATAATAAAAAAACAAGCTTGCATGCATCCACGAGGAGGAAAGGTGAGGATGGAACATCAAGTAACAAGGAAAGGGAAGAAGTGAAGGAAACAGAGAAGGTGAGTGAAGAAGGAAGACAGAGAAAAAAAAAAGGAAAAAGTACATGGGAGAGTCACAATATGATTCAGCGACTAGAAATGTATTATTTCTCTTTGTCTTGCACAATACAGGTACTCTTACGAACGAACCCAACTTGCTTCCAAAGCGAGCTCACAGACCGGGGGATGGAGTGGGGGAGGGACTTATCATTTCAGCACAGAGTCCCAGGGACGAGGCCAACACCGCTGGCCCCGCTGCGGGTCAGGGGAATGGGCCGGGCCTGGGGAAGGCTGCTGTTCCCTTCAGATCCTTCTATGTGTTCATGAGAGCCCCCTGTGGATTCTCGAGCTCCACCAGAGGTGGTTTGGAAGTAGGTGAAGTGGACCTTTCCTCCTTGGGGGCAAGGCAGGTGGCAACAGGCCAAGGTGTTCTGAAGGCTGCAGAGAAAGGAGTTGTCCCGCGTGCACCGTGCACGGGGAAGACGGACCAGTTAAAGGCATTCTCAGACAGGAACGGAGAGAGGAGGCGGCGGCCTGGGGGGGCATGTCACGGCTGACAGACACACCCGGGAAACGGAAGGCTAAAAACCCATGGGCATTTTATCCAAGAGACAGCAATGTTTTCACAAGTGCAAGGGATACTGGGTAACCGGGTTTAAAACAAAAATAACAGAAACGCTTCCCATACAAGAGGCAATTTTTTCACCACATTCCCAACCCCTGATTTCTCCAGAAGGTTGTTTGCTACCCACAAACACATCCAACAGGTTCAAGAGTCCCAAGCCCCAGCCGACTTAGACAATAAAAAAATAGAAATCACTCCCCCGTGATTTTCTGTATAGACCTCAATGAAGCCACCGAGGGAGGAAGGGGTGTCCACTACAAGCCAGCGAGGCTCAGGCCAAACTAAACCCCTCGTAGTTTTCCAGGGCTTGCGTCAGCCGCGCGCTCAGGATCTCTTTGCTGCTGTACTTGGGGAGGTCGAGCAGGTTGTAGCACGTGTGGGCCACAGGCAAGTAGTCTTCCCCACTGGCTGTGGACTGGATGATGATCTGCAGGCTGGCCATGCCATAGATGGGAATCCGATCACTGCCCGTCAGGAACACTGGGGAGAAAGGCACACATCATTACCAGCCCAGCTGACCAGCCTCCCCGCAATGGAGAGAAAGGCTGACACCCTGTGGCTGGTGTGAGAAGTTTGAGTTTCCCAAAGTTCCACCACGGATGGACCCAAGGCCATGCTGACTAGCAACGACTGACTGTTAAAAAAAATGGTCCCAAGAAATGCACCAATTTTATAAGATTTCCATATACTGAAGAGAAAGGACATCAGTGATATCAGAAAAGAAGAGCTGGCCTCGGGGGGAAACCAGGAAGAAAGAGTGTCGAGGTGTCTGACATCTCAAAAGTCTCCTTGCACGCATGCCAAGCTCTGGGGCTTGGACCACTCTGGCCACTGACTTTCCATCTGGGTCCGATTTCCTCTCCTTTCCCTCTACTGACATCCTTCCCAAAGCACACGAGCAGACCCAGGTGGGGTACCGGACGAAGGACAGGAGGGAAGCAAGAGAAGGGCGGGCCAGATGCCTCCATCTGTGCATTCCAGCACTGGACGACACCCCTCTGGTTGAATGGCTGGAAATGACTGTCATAAACCAGGAGGGGGAACTTTCCCATAACTCGCCATGGCCTGAGGCTGTGACCTAGAACAGCTCATGCCAAAATCTTTAGAGTTCATAAAAATTTCTGAGGCTAATGGTTTGTGAACCTAAAATGCTTTTTCCTAAAGAAATCTCCAGAACCATAAAGAGGCTTTCCTGGAGTGTCACAGCAGCCCTCGCTCTGCCGTTCTACTCCTGTGTCACTGCTTCGCCACAGCCAGCGTCCCCAAGCAGAGGAGAAACATCCTTGGCAAAAATTCTTGGAGAAGATCTCCACTACCTGTCGCCCTTGCTCCAAGAAGGCAGCAGAATCTTGGAGTGAGGTCCAATATTAGTATTAATATTTGCTTATTCTTGTAAAGCAAGAGATGGTCATTTTAAAATGATTTATTTATTTACTTAAATTGAGAGAAAGAGACAAGCGAACTTGTATCTGCTGTTTCACGTCCTAGACGAGTGCAATGGCTCAAGGACCAGGCCAGGCTGAGGCTGGGAGCTTCGTCCAAATCTCACATAGATGCCAGGGGTCTGAGCGCTTGAACAAGCTTATGCTGCTTTTCCCAGGCCATTAGAAGTGAGATGGATCAGAAGTGGAGTAGCCTGGACTCGAACTAGCACTCATGTGGGATGCTGGCAGCCCTACATGCTCTATCACAATTCCGACTCCAAAAGAGACTGTCAAACTCTTGTTTTATGTGGAGAAAATTGTATATAAGGGGCCTGCAAAAAGTTAATGGAAAATGGGATTATAGCAAAAACTTGGTGCAAAAAGTATTTGGAATTAACACAGATTATTTCATATTATGTGTTTTTCCATGAACTTTCTCAAGACCCCCTATACTAGTCACTGGCTATTTTTTAAATTCTTTTTTTAAAAATTGCATATTTATTTGAAAGTTACAGGGAAAAAAAGTAGAGACAGAGAGAGAGAGGTTCCATCCACTGGTTCACCCACTAAATGGCTGCAATAACCAGGTCTGGGCAAGGCAGAGGCCAGGAGTCAGGAATTCATCTAGGGTTTCTGCACAGGTGGCAGGAGTCCAAGGACTTGGACCTTCATCTGCTGCCTCCCAGGAGCACTAGCACAAATCTGGATCAGAAGTGAAGCAGATAAGACTTAAACTAGCACCGAGATGCCAGCATCATAAGAGCCGGCTTTACCCACTGTGCCATCATGCTGGCCACACTGGCTAATTTCTAACCTCAATGGCATAATGACACAAATAGAGGAAGATTTCAACTATTTTTAAAAGGCCAAATCTATTCATGTAAACCAGATTTCTTTCTCCTGTCCAAAGGCATTATCCCTTTCAAATGCATTCTAGTTGGTGACAAAGGACCACATATCATATGCTTCTATGATGCAAAAGGTCTGGACAGGCACACTCAGTGACAGAAAGAATGACAGAGGGCGTGGGCAGAAGTGGGGAGTGACTGCCACCGGGCAGGGATTTCTTTTTGAAAGAAAGGTGAAGAACATGTTCTCATATACGTTGTGTGACTGTGACAGGTTCACAATTGCACACAGACTGAAAACCACTGCATGGTACACTTTAAATAAGTGAACTGTTTGGCATCTGCATCATATCACAATATGGTCACTACAAGTCACATCTCCTCAGTTCTAGCTATGATGGACACTGTGAAATTTTTAAAAAGTAAAAGTAATAAGGATGGTTAGTCCAAGCAATTTTATAAGCCACTGCTTAAAAGAATTACTTGGAAATCAGTGAAGTTCTTTTTTTTTCATGCAATGGTTTCTGCTAGGCAGTAGATACAGATTAAATTCACATTATGCCTGAGATACCAAGACAAAAAGTACAATATATTCATTTAATTACTCACTCTTAGGGCTATCATTGTGCTGTACCTGGTAAAGCTGCTGCCTGTGTGGCATCCCGTATGGATGCCAGTTTGAGTCCAGCAGCTTTCACTCCAGCTCCCTGTTAACGTGCCTGAGAAAGCAACAGAGGGTGGCCCGAGTGCTGGTGCCCCGCACACAAGAGGTCTGGAAGAAGGCCCCACAGCTCCTGGCTTCAGTCTGCCCCTGCTCCAGACTCGCCCTTGCAACCATTTGGTGAGTGAGCCAGTCGCTGGAAGATCTAGATCTCAATCTTGATCTCTCTCTCTCTCTTCCTTTCAAATAAATAACAACTTAAGAAAGAAAAAAAAAAAAAAAAAGACTACAAAGTGTACAAAGGCCAGACTGACATAACTGAAACTTACAGAGAAACTTCTTCTTCTTTTCCAATGGAAACTCATGGAAAGCTTCCCAAAATAGTTTCACAGTAGGATGTGCGGCTGAGAATTCACCTTTGTAGATGGCAGTCTGTCCAAAACAGACAAAAAGAAAAGAAAAACGTATCATACAGAAGAACATTACTATATGTCATTTGCATTAAGGACTAAGAAGTAGCTCCTGAGAGGCAGGTCACCCCTTCCCCCTGCACAGTGGCCGGCTTAGAGGGAGACGAGCTCCAGGACACCTGCTGGGCCAGCGCTCACAGAAAACATCCCTCTCACTTACCGCTTCCAGTTCCTCCCAGTTGTAGTTGCTGTTCCCCACCATCATGGCCCTCAGTTCGGAAGGCTGGAAGAGCTCAAGCACTTTGCCACCACACACCTTCAGGAAGCCACTAGAGAAGGCCGTGTACCACTCATGGATGGAGATTTGGAAGACATAATTCACATAGGCATCCACAAATTCCTGCCTGCAGGACCGAAGAAGCAAGAAGCCATTCAACAGACTTGACAACTTTATGCAGTTGTTTCTTCTGCACTGTGTTTCAAAATGAAAATCCTGGGCCCGGTGCAGTGGTTAAAGTCCTCGCCTTGCACATGCCAGGATCCCATATAGGCACCAGTTCTAATCCTGGCAGCCCCACTTCCCATCCGGCTCCCTGCCTGTGGCCTGGGAAAGCAGTCAAGGATGGCCCAAAGCCTTGGGACCCTGCACCCACGTGGAAACCTGGAAGAGCTCCTGGCTCATGGTTTCAGATTGGTTCAGCTCCAGCCGTTGTGCTCACTTGAGGAGTGAACCACTGGACGGAAGAGCTTCCTCTCTGTCTCTCCTCCTCTCTGTATATCTGGCTTTCCAATAAAAATAAATAAATCTTTTTGAAAAAATGATGAAAATCCAACTTCAAATTCTCACACCAGGCGGCATCTAAAGGCATCGTGTAGCTCACCAGCTCTCCACTCTTCCCACTCTGTCCCTGTTCCAGGATTCCATCCAGTGTCCCAGGCAATGTGGGGCAAGGGGGCAAGACATAAGTGGGGGGAAGTGGAGAGGCAGGGAGGGGAGGATGAAGGAAGGGAAGGAGGAAAGAAGGAAGAAGGGGAGAAGGGGGAGGAGGTTACATAGGCAGAGCTGCACTGCTGGCCTCACTGACCCAAGTGCTACCACCTTCATCTCTTTTTTTTTCTATTTTATTTTTATTTCATAGCCTTCATTATTATTATTATTATCATTTTATGATACAGTTCTATAGACCCTGGGATTTCCCATACCCTCTCCCCAATTCCTTCTCCCCTCACTGAGCTCCCCTATATTATTACTATGGTATAATTCTTCATAAACAGTCATATGTCCATCATTGTAGGCATGGACAATGGCAGAGTCCAGCATCCTATTGCCAGGATATAGTAAACAGTTTCATTGGGAATTGAGACTCAATTCCAGCCACTCTGATAGAGGCAGCAGGTGTCTCATGTAGCACCTTAGCCACAATTAGCCACAATTCCCAAATCACATTGACTTTAATTCCATTTTCCCAAGAACTATTTTGAAGCTCCTATGATGTAAATATGTGTATGTAATAATTTTTAAGATAAAGGTATTAATGCAAAAAAAGATTTCTTTGTAACACAGAAGTATAAAAACACAAAACTACACATGAAGCTCATAAGCATTTTGTCTTTGTAAGAAAGATTAGAAGAGAAAAGGAATGGGATTAAGATCAGTACTCTTTTGATTAAAATAAGTAAATATCATTTCTTTATTCTGGGTCATATATGCAAATACATTTGACACATTACTCCTTGTAATCTTCTGTATTTTACACTGTAGGACTTTTTTTTTAAAGGAATTTAATCCTAAAAGGATACATCCCACTCACCCACCATTATAACATAACGGTTCATAAAGCTACAACTGAACTCAGGTTTGCTTAAGCAGACATTTTTGACATTATTACCAACCATACAAATAACTCACCAGCAAATAATGTAATACCGTGGGTAACTGGGACACACAGCAGCTATTCAATGCAGGCTCTGCCAAATTCTCTATCTACTAAGTCTTTGTTCTCCCATTGTTAACATGGGGACAATGACCAGTTTTTAAAATCATTACATCAGATAACTGAACACCTTAATCACAGGTGCTTCATCCAACTCACTAACTCGCCAGTGGATAGTTAACTAAGGAGACTTCTGAGCAAAGTGTTAAAGCTGTAGTCTGGTTTCTTTGCTGCCTATAGCAAAATGCAAAAGGAAACAGATAAGCCAAAGAGGAACTTGCCAAGCAAAAACAAGAAAATGACCAAGTTTGGGAAATTCTCGTTCAACCTAGACAGAATGTTCTGAAAACAGAGTCAAGAATGTGGTGGAACAATCTGCTCAGGATTAGACATGTGACTCACAGATCCAATCCTCTCACTAGAAGTCAGGAACAGAGATGCAGTTACACAGGAGAGATGGAGGAGAGAGATCTTTTTAGAAGACAGCTTAGATCCCTGGGCATTGTTCACAAGATCAAAAAGGCTTTTGTGTATTCCATACTAAACTGAAATACTTGGAATAAAGACAACTGGAATGGGATGGAATGAAAGTAGGATGCTTGATTTCTGGGCCTCCAAGGTAGGAAATGGATGAATGCAAGAAATGGTTAGAGTAACAGCTAAGACTGTTCAGGAATAAGTGGAACGAGCCCACAGGGTACCTGCTGAGGGAATCGGGCCACCACCTCTGATCTGGAGGGCCAGAGAACAGAGCATACAGCCAGAGGTTCCATACGCCCTCCCAAACATCGAAAGCTAAAGGAATTAGCCCTGCTAGATTTCCGATTGACATGGAACCCATACCCCCTTTCCTCCTTCAAATTCCTCTTTCAGAATGGGAATGTCTATCATACGCCTATCCTACCATCATATGGGGGCTAGGAACTTAATCTAGTTTCCCATGTGCTAATGGATTTTGCCTTGAGTCTCATCATCCCTTGGTTTAAATGATACATGATATAGTAGGGTTCTATAAGGAAAAAAAGGAGGGGGGAGAGACACCCAGGACAGCCAATGCTATATCCCAATCCAAACAGGAAAAAAACAATGTTCTAACTGAAGGCCATCAGGAAGGCTTTCTTTTAATCACTTTTTGTTTTATTCAAAACTTCAAATGATTGGATAAACCCATCTCCATTAGGGAAGACAACACACTTTTTTTCTCTCTCTAAACATCTTCATGAAGACACAAAAAATCATCTTTAAATATCTAGGCATCTCATTTGTCAAATTCACAAATGTAATCATCCCAGATGAGGCTTTGGACTTAGGAGTTGAGGTAGGAATGGCTGTGCACATCTAGGAGTCGTTGCAATGGACTGAGTGTATTTTGCATGCAAGGAAGAGATGAACAGGGGTGAGCAAAGAGTGGAGTATAATGAGCTTAATTGCGTCCCCACCAGACTCATGCTGAAATTTTAACTCAGAATGTGTGACCTTTGCAAATAAGGTCTTCCAAGAGCTAATCAAGTTAACATGAGCTTATTGAGGCACATCCTTGTCTGATATGATCGGTGTTCTTACAAAAACAGGACACGTGGACACAGACACGCAGAGGAAAGATGCAGAGAGTCACGGAGGCAGTCACGTGCACAGCAAGGACAGAGCCTGCAATAGATCATTATCGCACAGCCCTACCAAGCCGAGATGTGACTTCTAACCTTCCTAACTGGCAACAATGAATTTGTGTTAAGCGACCTAGTATCTAGTACTTCAGTGCAGGTACCCTGGCCCACCAGCACACAGACTCTAAGCTCTACATGTCAATCATCATCATTTTTACCATTTCTTTAACAATGATTAAGCTATCCTCATTAGGAGCTAGTTACTGCAATAAGTTCTTAGATATATGTGATCGCAATAAATATTTAAAGTCCACTCCCAGTGAATTTTATCGCATGAGAATTATGTCTTAATAAAAATACAGTGAAGCAGAGTGAAAAAAAAAATCTTTGAGGTTGATATGATCATGATCCCAGCTCAGAACAGAGTGCAGGATAAACAACTAACACACGGGCAGAGGCGGACTTTGACGCCAGGCATCCAAGACCTGCGCTCCCCTCACCACACCCCAGTGCAGTCCCTTCCCCCACCTTGAGAACTACAGGCCTCACAAGGGATCACTAACCTACGTAAACAACTTCTAAAACTTAAAAGTGCAAAAAAAAAAAAAATCAGAGAGGAGACAGAAGGTCTGGACAGAAGCTTTATGGAAGCTGACAGCAGAGTGGTCTTAAACACACATCCTCACTAGGCTAGCCCTCCACAGCCATCACGTTATGTGAAACAACAGCCTGGGGACGCCAGAGGCTGCTAGAGGTGTGAGACGCCTGACGCTGCTGGTACGGATGGGGAATGCTCCAGTCACTGCAGAAAACAACGTACCACCCGGTCCCACACTGCCAGGCATTGTATCTGAGAGAAGTCAAAACAGCTGAGCATACATTCATACAGAGACACAACAGCGAACACACCCACACGCACACACCACAAACAGAGTTACTAAGCATTCAAGAACAAGTTATTAATATACATGATGATACAGAAGAATCACAAATGAACTGTGCTAAGTTTAAAAAAAAAATGCCAGGCTCAGAAGGCTGCAAGTGCATGGTTTGTTCCGTTTATACAAAATCCTACCAAAAAAGAAAAAAAAACAAAAAACAAAAAACAAATTCTTGTGTTAGTCAACAGATCAGTGGTCAGCAGGGCTGAGAGTGGGGCTTGGCTGCAAAGGAATGTTTTGCAGTCATGTTATTGTTTTATGCCTTGACTACTCTGGTGCCTGCATGGCTGTAACTGCTTGTGAACACACCCAAAAAAGTATGAATTTTAACGCATGTAAATCCAATTTATCTAACAACACGTTTTAAAAATAACCTCGTTTAACACTAAGTTTCAATGTCTATGAAATGAAAACGAACCTTTAACAAGTGAGCACATCTTGGATGAAGTAAGCATGTTATGTTAGTCTCCAGGATTTGACTAAACTTTTTTTTTTTTTTTGAAGTCTGTTACAACATCTACTTTCTACCCTGCACTTTCCATGTTATTCTTCAGCTCCTAACTTCATAACCTATAAAACACGAAGAAGTCTACCTAGCCTCCAAGTGGCTGCAGCCATCGAGAGAGATGTTTTTTGGTCTGTACCAGTGAGATAACAGATAGGCAAGCACCAGTTAACCAAATGTGATCCATGAAAGTATTTTAAAAAGTACACAGAAAATGCAATGGAAAGAGAAGTCTATTTTGGTGCACCCCACCCCCAAAGCAAAACAAAACCCTTGAGATCCAAGCACAATTTTGAAATTATATACATTCTTGGGCCCAGTACAGTGGCCTAGTGGCTAAAGTCCTCTCCTTAAATGTGCCAGGATCCCGTATGGGCATCAGTTCTCATCCTGGTGGCCCCGACTCCCATCCAGCTCCCT